GGGGGGGGCAGAGCGTGCGACCGTAAAGAAGAGCGGAGTGCACACTCAGACTTCTGATCAAGACCGCGCGCGCCCTATCCTTCTGAACAGCCCCGACCCCGACCTGCATTCCGACCATTGCAACGACTAAGCACGACCACACGGCAAATCTGGAATATCCAAGCTGCCGAACGGCTCAAGGCACCCGACCATAAGTTCCGTCAACGACTAACTCACACCCTCCGGTTTTCCATTTCACTCATCCAACAAATTATTAATCTCATTTCTTGGTTGGCAGACCCGAGACCCGAGAAGTTAGTGGAATCCATTAATTTGGTAACTTGTGAATGACGGGTTTTAGTGATTATGCAACAAACTTACTCGCAGCCCTACCGAGGTTATTAGAACCGGCAAAGTATCGTTCTCTTAGTAAATTATTTGCACCTGGAGCAAAAGAGAAAAACACTGTAAAAAGCTTGCGAAGAACTATTCTTTGCATTGCAAAGAATTTTCAAGTGTTGGAAAATGTATTGCGATGCAAACTTAATCCTTATTGCGAACTATTTCTTCACACCTTACGAAGAAAATAGTTCATAACGCTGCGAAGAATTAGTTCGTAACCTTACAAACCATTTCTTCACAACTTACGAAGAAAATAATTTACAATGCAAAGAAAATAGTTTGCAATGCAAACTTCCTTACAACTTCAAAATTCTTTGCAAGAATTTTGCAATATGAACTTAAAAATTCCAATTACTAAATTAGCTAGCCATGTTTATGCCACGAGTTCGTCATGGTCACGATTTGGTTCGCTGCTTTTAGCCTATTTTTTTGTAACTTGGAAAGTCGGAGGCTCGTAGTGTCGAGGCGCCCCGTCGTGTCCGGACGGTTGTCTTGGCGTGACATGTGGGTCAAGCCTCCAGCCCCGCCGTGTTTGGCGACATCAGAGGGAGCTGCGCTAGGGCAGGCCGCCAGCGGCGGGCCCTGACCCTCAGCACCCCTACTCCTCACCACGTCAAGCCACGCCGGGCCGGGCCCGGCCGCGCCAGCGTGGGCCACCCCACCGGGGCTTGCAGCAGCACTTCGGGCCACCGCGGTCCAGGCTGGGCCAGCCCGACAACAACTTGAGCCAGCCGGCGGCAGAGTGAACTAGCCAGCCGGCAGCCACCGGGAACTTTGCTGTTGTGGCTGCACTAGACGCAGCGCTAGAGAGAGGAAGAGAGGCTCCTACCACCAGCCACCATCGCCATTCCTGACACCGCTGAGTAAGTCTCCCTAATCGCCCCCGCTGGTCGTCGGAGAACTAACCCAAAGAGGACACACCACAAATCTAGAGCAAGGACTTGAACGATCGAAAACAACAATCTTTTAAGGAAAAAGAATACCGTTTTACGGATTGTACAAGGGGCTTAAAGTGGGACCGTTGGGGAAGAATACGAGAGAATTCTTCTCAGATTCTCTGGAATGAAAAACATATAGTTTTGCTGTGTCTAATAAGGTAGAGACACGGAGCTGAGGTTTCCCGGAAAGGAATAGAATGCTTCGTTGAGAGTATTGCATACCTGGTGTCCTCTGCCTTCAACCTGTATGCTCGCGCACAACAAACTTTTCCTTACGTGTTCAGAACAGAAAAATTTAAGGAAACTATTGTAAAGGATTACAATTGATTGAAAATTACTTTACAAAGAATGCCTTTAAGTGTGTTAATGGTGACCAGTCCGAGGTTGGGAGGTGAGGGAGTGCTCAAGAATTCAAAAGCAAATAACACTTACCTCACTCCCGGCGGCTCGCATGGGTGGCGTAGCGCTGCGGTCAAGGCCTGCAGGACGTACTGCAGCGCGCGGCGTGGCGTAGCGTAGCGCTGCCAAACCTGCAACATAAACAACCGGAACCGCACATTCATAACAGCGCTCTCAGCCGCCTGGAGGGTAGGCAGACCCGCGCACTCCGCGCACCCGACGGAGCAACCTACCCTCCAGGCGCTTCTGGAACCCACTGTACGCTGCGAGAGCGCTGGGCCGGAGAACGACACACGAGCTGTAGGGATATTAAAACTCAAAGGACCCGTCCCGTCCCGTGTGGCAAGGGAGAGCGGAATGCCAGGAGGCAGAAATATTGCGATTCCGTACGATCCAGAGCGGTCACGCGCACTTAGTTGAGTTTGAGGAAATACTGGCTGAAGCCACATACTTCCAGATAATAGAACAATAAAGGGGGTACTCTGTTAGTTCACATGAGTGCAAGACCTTATAACATATGACATCACAGCGCTGCTTTCATCGTTTTGGTTAGAAACAGCCACACAGATTGGAGTGGTCGCTCGCACGAATGGTGTGTGTAGTGTGGTACGTGGTGTGGGTGTTGACACAGGTCGTGTCGTTCGTGTCTACCGATGGACACCCTATCACCCTCCCTTACTCCCACACACACACTCCACCACCTTTGCTCTCCCCGGGCACTGGGGACGGGCAGCCTTGCTGAAGGTTCGAACTAGACCCAGCCTGCTGCCTTTCACGCCTGACCAGCAGTGTCCTCCTCAGATCACCCATGACGCCCCGCGCCGTAGGTGGCCGTAGGCGGGATGTTTGTCGAAATGGTGGGGGAAAACCAGTGCGCAGAGGGGTACAGGAAGGCACATGATGGCGAGCGAGAAAGGCGAGAAAGTGAGGGGTTGAGGGGTTTAGGGTAAGAGAGGGAGAAGGGGGAGGAAGAGGGTGGAGGGAGGGACGGGGCAGGGAGAGAGGGGAGGAGAGAGAGAGTGAGAGAGAGAGAGAGAGAGTGAGTTTGGGCACAGGAAGGTAGTGGTACAGGCACCGCGGGCACGTTGCCCGCTCGCTGCCATGCCGCTCGCGCTGCGCAGCCAAGGCTTGTTGATTGGCTGAGCTTGCGAAGCCTTTGCTGTGATGTGGGGTGCAGAGAACTCTTTGGTCGTGTGTCTGTCTGTCTGTCTGTCGGTCTGTCTGTACTGGCCCACGTTTCTCTCAGACGGTAACTTCAATGGACTTCAAACTGCGCACGAAGCTTCAGTATAAGTCGAGACGTAATGAGTTT